CCCCTTTATTTTAAAGGCGCATCGGGAATATGGCTGCCATTCCGCCATTTTGTAATATTTTTTTATGAAAAAATGTTTACAAGTACTTCAATATATGCTTATTAACTTCACGGAATATTAATACTTTATTTCATTTCCTTCCATTAAAAAAAAAATGTCGAAAAAGTGCAATTTTTTGGGCCGTTACAGTGGTGTTACCCCTTAAGCAAAAATACAAAACTAATATAATAATAATGCACATTGTCAAAATAAAATAATAATGCAAAGGAAAAACGAAAAAATTAGTGCTAGTCATATAGTGTATGAAAGATGGGTAACTATGCGCATTTCAAAACGCTTGCGCAAAGTTGCCCGCCGCGACCTGACTCGATATGAAATACGATTACTTCAACATTTCTTAACCAAACTTAATAAATAACAGCTCAAAAGATGCACATAATAACATACTTTAATAACGTATGCAACTTTGCAAACAAACAAATTAAAAATACGGACTTATCACCTTATTTTCTGAATGCTAAAATAACAAGGAAAAAATGTGATTTCACTTTTTTGTATTTCTCTGGGTGGCAATGTATTTACGTCGTATCTTTTGTAGTTATATCTTAAGAGGACGATCTCTTGCGTAAAAATTTCACCACAGTGATTCTTCCATTGGAAGTCTTCATCCATTGGAAAAGTACCAAATTAGGATGCGCACAATTACCTGCTGCGCACAGTTCCCCCACTTTCCCCTAATAGTCATCTTCTGCAGTTTTTGGACTCTAACTAGAAATACTATCAAAGACGGTCGGTTCTTATGGAAATTTGCGTGACTGTTAAAATTTAAGTGATTATAAGAGTAAGAAACTGATAGTACAGTACTAATTTCGTAATTATTAGTTTCATAAACATGAATATGTATATGTTTAAAACTCGATAATACTAGATTTTGATTAAAAACTGTGATTTTAATATTATCATAGAAGTTTGATTATAATAGAGATGATAATTGCAAAGAAAAAAAGTTGTAATTTTTCGGCGATAAGATATTATAGCATTAAAAGAATCCGTACTTTATTTATACAGCACTTATATAATAAAAAAATCACGAATTTAATAATATATTATCGAAATATTTATGTTAATCGCAAATTTTTATTAATTGTCGATAATATTATCGTTCTTCAATTATCCCAGGGCGTCTGGGGTTCCATTGATAGTCAAGAAAATTTGCCCAGGGCCGACCGTCTTGAATAGTTGGTGCTGGTTGATGCTTTCCAGCAAGGACACAGTCAGACACAGTGGATGCATTCAGTACTACGACCGCTCTTGAATCTGTTTGGTCTATATTTTTAGTTCTACGGAATATGCCAACCAGATGCAAGAGCTCACTGAGCGCTCAGTGAGCGATCGTAGTACAGAATGGACCCAATGGGTGCATCCAGAAGCACGACCGCTCACCGAGTTCTCAGTGAGCTCTTGCATCTGGTTGGCATATTCCATTAAAGCTAAAAATATA